AATCACAGCCATAGAAATGGAAAATTATATCTCCCGTAAACTCGATCTCGTGTGGAGAACGTGATGAAATAGAATGAACCGTGCACCTGCCGCTCAATACGCCGCATGTTATTTTGTACAGTATAATTTCATAATCTCGATAATCTGACGTTCAATTTCTCAATAAGAGATACTTCAAGTAAAAAAAAATAGATCTTTTTGTGAGAGGATAAATTTATAATAATATACGAATACATTTAAAGTGGAATTTATTTATTAAATCATCGATTTTTTTCATTCAAAAGCGAAGTAGCTTACAAGAACCTGTTTCTACGATTTATTCGTGCAACAAGCGCTTTAATTTATTGGCGGACATAACCGAATCTGGTACACCTATAAGCGCACGAGAAATATATTAATAATTTTATGCTTTTTATCACCTGTAAGCGTCGAGGAAATAAATCATTGCGGAAACCTTTCACGCTGCCTAAGCGACAAAAGGAAATGAACTAGGGCATGCTATTACCTAATATGGCAAACAAGCGATTTATGAAACTTTTGAATAATAACGAGGTAAAATGACACTTTCAGTTTAATGAAGCGAAACTTTAATATTCGCGCAACTAGGCTATTAGTTTCAGAGAATAGTTGTTTGAAGACTTTCGTCCAACTTATTTATATTGCTTGTCTCGGATTATCAATTCCTGCCGCGCTCCGGAAAAGTGTGTCGTGTATAGCGACGACCTTCATCGCTTAACTTGCAGTTTTCGAGCAAATCAGATAAACAGAATTGTTAATCCGTTATATCGAGATTTGTTTGGAAAATTCGACAAAGTTAATTAAAATTACGGGGATTTACGGGAGATAAAATTTAATTATTATTTTTCCTGCGATAACTGTTAAATTATCGTATTAAAAAATAAAACGTCAGAATTGCGTTAGCGTTATAATGGGTTGTCATGAGTAATTTGGTAAACAGAACAGAAATGGTTACATCGATCTCAAATGCGTGTTTAACTTTGAATTTACGTGGCACGGGCTATACACAACTATGTTTTGAACGAAGCTACCTCTCTCCTTCAAAGCGTTTTTAACACATGAGGCCGCTGCATATTTAACGAGATACCTTTAATTAACGCGATTTTATTTAACTTCGGTGACTCCTCCCCTGAAGCCATATACGGACACGACAGCTTTGTAGATTATCTGTATTCTGCCTGGCGCACGACCGTGATTCTGTAATGCTCGCCGAGAGTGTGTATACATACTCAATTCTACAATTCCGCCGACGTCGGCCGCACGCAAATATCGACAAAAACGGATTACATAAGATACTTATCCGTCCGATTATTACCGAGGAAACTCATATCATTACGAGCAATGACACCGAACTTGAAGCTGTAAACTCGTCGTTTTAACTAACTTTGTACAAATCTTTCAAGTGTTATCTGTTAATTGATTTAGCAAACATCGCGCTTCGCACTTTTAAGAAGGTTCTTTCATACAAAAATCTATTTTTTTCCGAATATATTATAGAATCTGAAAAATGTGCGTTTCTGAAATTTCACTCGGATTATATACGGGTGAAAAAACCAGAATCGAAGGAAATAAAAATCGAAAAAGGCAAAACAATGTTTTTTTACGAAGAAAACTGCCTTTGTTGAGAAACTTATATCAGTTAAGTATGTGAGAAAATTTATTTAAAAACTTTGAAACTCATTTTAAAAACGGATTGTGTGACCGATTTCGAATTGTATGTCAAAATATAAAATAATTATTTCTCTTGGGCTCTTTGATCAATTTTATTTATAAAAATTCTGATTTTTTTATTATATAAGTTTATGTGAATCTTTTTAAATATTGCTATTCTGTTATCATTTTTCATCTGTTTGTCATTTCGGTAGCCATAACAATCGTACCATCCCAGATAGCACAAAGAGCTAAAAATAACTCACAATCAGTCATATGTCATTAATACTGAATTCATTTTCAGATGCAGAAGAAGAATTTTTTTATAAAAATTCTGAATAAGAATTCCTTTTGCACCTGAAAATAAACTCAGTATTGATGACATATGACTGAATATACGAACGGATTTTTTTCTAATTCTGTGTGCGCGCTATCTAGGATATTCATATAGGGAATAAGAAGCTTCGTTCTTTTTTGCTGTAAATAATTACGAGGCGCAACCATGGGCATCGGATAAAAAAAGAATTTCTTTTGCCTCACATAATTTATACATATTATTAACCTTATATCATTAACTTTAATAAAAAGATTCTGAAACATTGTTTAAATTTAATAAGTATAAAAAAATAAAAGATTTGCCATAAAGAGCTTTTCTTTATGAATTAAAAAGAAAGAAGAATTCATAAAGATTCATAAGGATTACTTATTTTTTAACGCTCTGGATGAAAAAAATATCCTCTGAATTCTTTATTAACTAATTATTTTCTGAACATACATATTTACAGACATTCCGTAGAGATTTATGCTGATTAGATTAGATTAAGATTAAAGATTGACGAGTCTCGGGCACCCTGTATAAGTATGATATATTAAGTCTTCCACTTCTGACATACGCATATCAAGCAGGAGCGTAAAAATGTGACCATGACATATGTAAAACGCGACCACGCCAAGATAGTTACACGAATAAACGGTTATGAGGTGGTTAACCTCGATTGTTATAGCAAGTGCAATTAGTATTTTAAGTGTGGCTTGATTGTGAGTCACAGACCGACTACTTTCTCAGTCGCGCTTTTTCTCAGATGCTCATGCAACGTCCCGCGTTAACTTTCAGCTCGCAGCGTGGATTCCTCGCATCGTCCGAGGATAACATCGGTCATGGTAGACCGCTACGTTAATTTTTCCGGTTACTGCTCTGCCGAAGAGACCGCCAACAAATTTAATTTTAATCTCTTAGGAAGCACGGGAGCGCGACCAAATTATTCTTAATAAAGGAAAGTTGTGATGTAATTATATCATCTGAGCCGAGAGTTCTGCGGAGTATTTTCTCGCGATAAGCGTCGAGTCTAATTGAAGGCGCGACGAAGAGAAAACACGAGTCCGACTTGTAATTTGATTACATAATTATGAGATTTGATTAATATTTATTGATTATTAAATGATGGAAGTGACATAAGTGTTAAGAGATCCGTCGAAGCGTGGAGCAAAAAATCAAGTTGTAATTAAGTAACAGCTAATTAAGACGTAAGTTAGATTACGTTAAATGCTTTTAAATGCTAAACAAAAAAATCTAAAGCGTAAAACGTGCAATCTTACGAGACTAGTTCCTATCTTAGGATTTAAATTGCATTACGCTAAATAATTGGCAGAAATAACGAAGTCAATAAGCGTGCGGTGAATGTAAACAAATATAGTTTCGTTAGAGTCGTTATAATTGTAATTTGACGATGATCGAGGGATAATCATATCACAATTACTCAAGCATCGCTGCCGGTAATTATATTATCTGTCTATATAACATTGCAGCTCGCGAGAAAGAAGGCTGCATTATTCGAGATCACACAGCTTCACACATTGAAAAGTGTATTCTGACATTTTTATACAACCACGCGAACACATCGATCCGTTCACGCTTATTTTCACTTTCCTGATTATATGGTTGGACAATAGAAACTACGAAGTTAAAAAAAAAAGAAAAACCATTGTTAGGGAACTAATTAAAGGAGAATGGAGAGAAACATCTCGGTAAGACGCACTTTGTGTATTTATCAGCAGATGTTTTTCTTTTTTTTTTATGTAACTGACATTTGACTCAAATAACAAGTAAACAAACGTTTCCCGATGATAATAGAGACGTCCACGTGCGAAAGTTTCTTAATCTTCGCGCGAGAGACGCACGAATCTTCGCGTTAAGGCGACTGTCCAGAAAATGTTAATAAGAACTCGTGGAGAGGCGGGGAGGGGAAGAAGGGGACGCATCGGCTGCCCCATGGCAACCGCACATTTTCCTTGCGATTTCACTTTCTCCGATGTGGCATAATTGCGCGTGTTACGAATCGTAATACTCGATTCCGCCGCGCGCCACACGCTCATGTAACGCAATCGCGCGCGATCGTGTTTCAACAATGTAGGACCCGCGAACCTGTCAACCGCCTCTCACGCACGCATTCACACGCGCGCGCCGCGCAACGTACACGCGGTACGCGCAATACGCCAACTTCTATCGACATTTCAACAAATCGCGTAACGGTACTGGAGAGATGTCATCTCGTCGAGAGAATCGATACTCCTCGTATTTCATTGTCAAAAACTATAAATGCGACGTGACGAATATTGCGGCTTTTCTCACGTGCCGTTCGCGATCGCGATTGACCGCAATCGAATTGCGAATACTACCTTAATTGGCACCGCAGCCTTCACGATATCCTGATTTTATCGAGTGCAGATTGCGTACAGATTGCGTATTTGGACAGACGTTGCAAGGTAACGATCGTTGGAACTTTCTCATTTACGGAAAGTTGCAAAAGTTGTTTCTTTCGCGTGAGTAGGTAAACTCGTAGAGACAAATTTGTTTCCAGGTTGTTTTCCCCCAAAGGACAGGTGCATTAGTGCCGAAATTGGATAATGTCAAAGTTTATAGCTCTGCTCACAATTGAGTATAAATCTTAAGAGATTTTTTATTTTTACAGCACACAATCAGCAAAATTAAACATATAATGCTAAATTAAACATATAATTTATTTCTATTCTTTGCGATGAATTAATCTTGATTTACGCTGAAAATACTTGCGCGCGTATTTAAAGTTATGTGTATTCAAACTTTAGAGTTCTTGACGCGAATTCGCGTTTCGCACATATTTAATATTAAATAAATCTTTTCGTTGAAGGATTGACGGACAAAGTACAATGATTTTTCTACTCTTTATATACACATTAGAATTTCTTCATGGAAAAACTTAATTTATCTATATGCAATGTGTTAGAATTGTTTATTTAAATATTGAACGAAGAACATATATAATATGCATTTCCAAACATAACAAACTACATATAATATCTATATATTGTGTGAATAATAATTTACTTAATGTGCTGTAATTATAAGGTACATCGTCAAAATTAATTTTAGGCCTCTCAGAATGCAAAATATGCGTGTTCAGAAAATGTTCTTTCGTTACAAACGGTGTTAAATTAAAATAAAGAAAGAGCAAGATGAAGAAAATATATTATATTATTTATATGAAAAAAATCAATTTGTATGGAAGAGATAAAGATGCTTCAATAGTTGAGGATAAATAATGAAGTAACGCGCGCTATTGGTCCCGTAAGAACATCCTATTCTATATGTATTGTTTTTCCCTATTTACTATATTTTTGAGAATTGACAGATCACGTAGTAAGATTATTATGTCTTTTGATTATTATGTCTTTTCGTTCAACTTGATTGAAAAGCGTCCTTCATCTTGTTCTCGTTTGAACGTCTCGTTTGAACCTCCTTCACTTCCGTGCTGTTGCTTATTCTTAGCGTTATTGACGCAAAACATCTTCTTCCAAATATTGGCGAACTGGGCAGTCATACTCGCGTATATTATGGGATTGTAGCAGATGGAGGACTTCGCGAGGAGCGCTGGCAGCACCGCTACGATATGGGAGGTTTGTACCTGCAATCATACACGCGCGCGTATCACCTTTCATAAGCTATAATTCTTCACAGCCCGCCGTAAGTGGGGAGCCATAAAATTAATGGAGTCATTGAGAAGCTATCGACGTGTCAATCATTAGATTCTGATATGGCTAGTCAGTCACGAGGAGATTGACCTCGTTGCATGGATAAATAGATTTTACCGCCTTAACATGTATGCTGCAATACCGTCTCTTGTTATTTATTTATGTCACACATCAACGATTTACGAATTACGAATTTGGAATAATTAATTGATAACTAATTAAAAATTAGCTTCGCGCGCAACAACTGTTCTTTTTAAGATCTTCAGAACATTGAACTTCTTGTGACTTGACTTGAGTATACTTACGTAGAAATATTGGGTTGCGAGTGCAAGAACGGCGTATGGCGACCAAGCAATTAGGAAAGCAAGAATCATTAAGTATACCATCTTAGTGACTTTCTTTTCTCGCCTATTCCTCACACCTGGAACGAGACAAATAAGAATAATAATCAAGAACAATAATACTGTCGATAAAAATTAATTTTATTGGAAGTAATTGAGAGAGAAATTACTTTATAATACTCCTTTCATAAGACAGTCTTAACTCCCATTTATCATCGATGTATTTATCATCGATATAATATTCTTTTATTAATTTGGAATTAACTCTTTCTCTTTTTTTTTAGCAGAAATTGCGTTCAATTTAAACAAAGAGGAGCTTACGTTTCATTTTTGTACGACTATGATAATATATTATTGTTTAAAATAAAATAAAACGTTACTCACCGATCCTTTTTTCTATTTTCTTCAAAGTCTTTATTATGCCGTAATAACTGCTGGTGATTATTATGATAGGAAGGAAGAAGCCAAAAATAAATAGAAATCCGATGTAAGTATCGTTGTGCGTCTTAGGATCGTGTATCTCCCAAGATACGCTGCAGGATATGTTACCTGCCTCCAGGCCATAAGTCCCCCAATTGAAAAACGGCGGTAATGACAAGCAGAGTGCGTATATCCAAACCAAGAACGCCAATATGTAAGCATTCCTGTAACAAATTTTTTTCTAAAGGTAAATATTCCATTTATACGACAATTTACGAAAAATATTAAAACAAAAAATAAACGTTCTACGAGAAATTGTACCGCTAATTTATATTAATTCGGTCAAAATTCGTGTTTTCACTTTTCTCTTGTTTTGTCTATCTTGCTCATTATTTGTGGAAAAAATGTTTTTTGTTCAGAGAAACGAGAAACATTTTTTCATAGAAACATAGAATATAGACGAACGCGTTAACCAATGTAAATAAACAGTCAATCACAAGCAAATAAAAACGTGAAAAAAAGAAAAATAAAACAAGTGAAAAGTGAGAACACAGAGTTTCTCCACTTTAACGTTTTTCTACGCGCACCAGTTTTTCTGATGCGGAAGCGGAAAGTCAAAGGCAATTTCGAATTAAAAAAAGCGTATGACAATATAACAATCGTTGTCTAATTTAAATTAATTTAATTATATACATCAAGAAGAAATTTAATTATATGCAAAAATGCACATAAGTATAAAAAGATATAAATCAATATTAATAACATTGTCAATTATGACGCCAATCGTTGTTCTATTAATTACTACAAATACTGTATTATAGATACTTGAACAATAAAATAAAAATTCTTGCGTTTGTTTCTCAATGAATATTAAGTTTTAATTACATTAAAAAGAAAAATTAATAACCATTTTTTACAAAATATTACGTTTGCAGATTCAAATTTATATTTGTCATCAAACATTTTTCTCTCTGTAGCAAATTTAGATAAAATTTTTTAACGATTTTTGAATGTTTGATTATATTAAATATTTTGGCAAATTGTATAATTAAATTTAATGTATTAAAATTTTAATTAAAATTAAACAAATTATGTTAAAAAAACTAATTCTTTAATTTTCTAATTTCCGTTTTTTTAAATTTTAGATATTATTAATTCAATATCTTATGTCTGTAAAATTGATTATAATGAATATTTTTCTTATTTATTGATTTGTTTTCTCTTATAATGAATTTTTATCAATTTTACTGTCAAGTCATAAATAGATAGCGATAATTGCCGTACAAATAGCGATTATATCATTAATCATCGCGTGTTAATACTTCAGTATGGATCAGTTTTAACTCGTTAGTGAAACGGTTAACTCATTAGTAAAATCACGGATTTACTAAAGCGGATTGAAAGTCCGCTCTTTTGATCGGTTATACTACCACTTTCTCGTGCATAAAATAGGATTCCTTGATAACAAGGAGATCATTTTTAAGCCATCGTTAATTGCGAAAACCTGAGAAATGACCTTGAAACAGAGTCAAGACGATGATATTGCATTTTTTAAATATCAAACGATAGTAATCGCGACGATGTCCTTGCTGAAAGACGTAATGACGTTTGATATCAGTTGGCATTTTATCGAAGTAATTTACGCTTAATATTGCTTAGCATGCGCGAGCAGTATGCAAGTCACTTTACGGTCTGTCGCGAAGAAAATAAGGTAAGGTAGCACGTTTCACAATGTAATGCTACTTAGTCCTAACATTCTTTTATCATTCTTCAAACATGTTTTGTTACTTGTCCGTCTTCCGTGCACAACGGAAGAAATGGGAGAGTGTGATGCAATTAAAAATTCATCGCAAACCCGTGCAAATTACATTTTGAAGGTGTTAATGGTCATCTCGTAGATGTGATGAGTAGCATCGCTTCCTGGAGAACGTTGCGATGAAAGTGTGCGATAGAAAGTCGCGGAATGCGCAAGTTAATCATTTCTCCGTGTTGGCAGCTTTTGTATTATAATCGTTACGTATCACCGTGAAAAGGAAAAGATTTTTTGGAAGTGTAAAGATTAATGTGTGTCGAGTAGAAAGCATTATTTTTTTGTTTTTGTTTTGACAACACGCATTTTGTGTGTTAATCATAAATTTATAGAGAGATTCACCAATTTTTTCAGAGTTCTGATAAACTGATTAGATAAGTAAGAGAAATATATATATACATTTTTTTTTTGAACTTATATTTTTATTCTGAGCGTGTATGAAAGAGAAATAAATTTTTTTTTTACCTTATTGATAATGTCTTTATCGGACATGTGACTAGTAGGAATCTTTCTATTGCCATCACTGTCAGATTACCAATACTGGCAAATCCCATAGTAGTCATGAACCATGCGTACCTGAAATTAGAAAATTGATTTGTGCATAACATAAATCGAGTAATTGAATAGAATATTCTACATAGCAGATTATTCTGAGAATTAATCTTGAGTTCTTTACGTTACAACTTTTAATATAACTCAAGGAAAGGCTATCCATTATTATAAATTCTATTACTGCTTATATGAATCTCTCAGAAGCCAAATTGATCAACTCTACTTTCTGAAATTTTTCAATTTTAATTCCAGAACATCTAATGAACTTATAACTTTATCAATTTTCTCTATTTTATGAAGAGCTGATTAAAGATAAAGAAAGGGGGGAGGAAGGGGAGGGGAGAGAGAGAGAGAGATTGACTTTCGACAGATTTATATAATAGTATTATATATATTATATTAAATGAAAGTAGATATTATTCTGAAAGTAGATATTATTAATAAATACGTTTTGTTGTAAAACATAGTTTTAGGCATAACAGAAAAAAGTTTATGTATTTCAAGTATTACGCGCAATATTTACAATGTGCAATTTTTCAATCGTACACTCTGGGAATTGTTTCGCTGTTCCAGCTAGAATTCTATTATAAATATTACACTTAAATTATATCGCTGTTTTTAGTGTTTTTTGTATCTGCTAAAAAATTGTCTGTCATACGTAGAATTTATAGCAGCAATATTCTAAGAATGTATGCAAGAAAATATAGATTCAAATATGATTGGAATTTTGATTGGAGTCTGGGCTGATTAAACGTCATAGAGAAACTTTCTTGCTAAATTTGACAAACAGTTTAGATATAATTTCTGTCTCTGTTATTTATATTGATTAAATACAAAATATACGTGATATCGCAGTGCTTACTAATCACTAATCACTTTTAGCTAATTTCTCGTACCTAAATAATTCTTGCTATAATTGCAAAATTACTTTTTTCAGTGTATTAATCGAACAATTTTATTGATGTTTTAAATATAGTTAAACCTAATAAGATGGTTGAAAATATTATAACTAGATCTGATCCGATTTTCTGACATTTAAATTTCCGTTCAATTTAGATAGCAATTTTTTTACCATTTTTTGTTAAATGGACACGTGCATACTTTTATCAGTCGTGCCAAAAACATATGAGATATTTATATAAATACTCTTAAGATCAATCTCTATCTGTAGATTTATACGGAGAAATAAATTTTTGATTAATGATATTATTTTTTTGTGTAATAATGATGACATACCACAGACACACTTCGTGATTCCAAAACCATTCACCTGCGATCGCCGATGTCATTGCGAAAGGGTTTCCCATCGCAGCTACTAGGAAATCTCCAATCTGTCATAATAAACATGTCAAGCATTACAAATACGCCTGAAAATGGTCATACTAACTTAAAGTATAATTGTATATTTAGAGCCACTATATCTTCTGAAATGACAAGTTAGGTAATTTGCATTATATTCCTGTCATAGAGACAACATATTATTTATTATCAAACATATTGCATTTGTACTACTTATATAAAGTCGGAGTAAATTATATAAAGTGCAGAGAGAGATGTACCTTTTGTATTTAAACAAGATTTCGTAATAATATCGAGAAGAGACAACTTTTCAAAGTTATCGGAAGTTAACTTCCATTGCATCTCATCAGTGATGTGAAGCCTTTGTTTCACGTCGCTCAAAAGAGTATCCTACTAAAGAATTGCTTTACAGAAATAACAAATAGCAAAACAAAGAACACGAATTTTATAACATCAAAAAATAAATAAAAAATAATTAATTAAAATTAAAAATCAAAGACAATAAAAAAAAATAAAGATATGCGTGTCATTTGGAATATATAAATTTAAAAAAAGTAATCTTGAATTTTTAAGAAAAATTATATATTTTTCTAGAATAAAAAGTATGTTTCTACGTTTGGATTAATTAATCTTTATAATGACACGATATTTGGTGAATTTTTTAAATTTTATTATTATTAAGCAATTTTTTGCAAGAGCATTATTTATTTATTATTAAAAATATAAATTAACAACATTATTATATTTTCACAGGCTTCAAACACGTTTATTCTTTAATTCAAAATTTTAGATGACATTCGGGAAAAGCGTGCATTTGATATTTGAAATCGATTACATCTCCAACTCACTGCAGTTTTCTCGTATTCGCATCATTAACGAAGCATTAATGAAGTTTTTTTTCCTCATTGCCAATTCATCGTGTGACATCGTTGAGAAAAAGCCTTAGCTATGTGACGAAACACAGATGGCTGTCACATAAATCTACCATTTTATGGCCTTTTATCCTTATTTCCTAACCAGAAGTGACTTGACATTTCGAAACATGTTCTTCTAATGCTTAAAATGTCCACTTAAGTAAAGTGTCTTGTATTAATTACCTGTAATCGTTTCAGTAGAAAATTGTGTTTGATAAAACTAATTAAACAACATTCTTTCGAAAACATATTAGAAGGAAAAGACATAATGTGTAAAAATATCTTTGTTCGATACATTCGCAATTTTGTACATTATATTTTGTATATAAAATTTTTGGTAACAATTGTGCAAGTAATAAATTGATAATATAAGATTTAAAAAATAATGTGTATGTGTGTGTGATACATATATACATTACAATTATATCATAAAAAATGTGCTTTGTTATAGTAAGCTTGGATGAAAGAAAATAATGATTTAGAATTAACGTAATAGTAATATATTTTCAACTTAAAAAAAAAAAACTTATATTACTATATTCTTTTTATCTTAAATATTAATAATTTTCTAAGATTTCTTTTTGCAGAAAAATAATATGTTTAAATTAAATACATATTTAAATAATTATCAATTAGCCTGTACAAAACATAAATTCTTACAAATATTTAAATATCATTTTATTGTGATAATAATTATTTTTTGCGACATTATACGAAAATGCGACGTTATTGATCCGTCGTAACATATTTAATTTGTTCGGTCAAGTATTCATGCTAATTTCATTTTCCCACAGCAAGTTTACCTATTTTATCAACAAATTAAATATATTTTTCTTCACAAACATCTGACGTAATACCACGCTTTTATTATAATTATTTTTTAATGTAATATTTCTCTAGTATTTTTTATCAAATATATATGTAGGTATTTCAATTGAGTCCCATTCGTATATTATATATAAACTCCTTTCATATTTTGACATAATAATTTTTTAAAAACGTCATTGAATATTATTTAAAAACGATTACGCAACAAAATTTTCTTATAATCAGTCGAATAAGTGAAGCTTTAAAATATTCCATTTCAAAATAAAATTGTTATAAAGAGCGATTTTGAATCCCAGATGTATTTAGATATTTAAAAATTCACAGGTCACTACAGTTCGATTTTAAAATTTATTGAATTGGAGAGAAAGAGGAAAAGAGCGAAAAAGAGAGGCAAATAATTGATTTCTTCTTTTTTTTTCCTAAAAAGTTATTGACGTCAACCTTAAAAGTCCAAAAAATGCATAAACAAAAGGTGGCTTCGTACCTATATTTAGAATTATTTGTATTGTAATTTGAAATTATAATTATGAAATATAAATTATAATAAACTATAATATTATAATTAAAATTATAATTATGATTATATTTAAATTATAATTATATTTAAAATTATAATATAATAAATTGTAATTATGAATGAATTTTTCTGTTTTTTTTAATAATAAAGGTGAAAATTGAAGATTTCGATGTTTGTCTGACCAATGAGATAACTCGAGCAGAAAAGATATAATGTTACCATATTATTATACTCCATATTATGTGTTGTACATTGTAATTTTGTATTATAGAATGAATGATTGAATTTCTTTCGTAGCCGCAGTTATACAAAACTACCTAAATTGGCGTTAAAACTTCGGTAATATACGCTAATTTCGTGAATCGCATGACGAAGAAATCCATTCATTTTAAAGTGCCTAACTAGAGTTAAATACCATTATTACCATTTTTACATTACTATGGGGTAATATGTTTTCACAATACATTGACGTACGAAATTAGACTGACAATGAGCAGCTATTTTAACAATATGTATTACGGACATGGCTGTTTTTATTCTCTATATTTTAGCTGTTATTTTAACTCTATATTTAGGCTGTTTATCTTCTCTATATTTTAGCGCTTCTCTATATTTTTTTTCTTCCATAAAAAATACGTCGGAACAATAATAACGATATATTTCTTCTTTATTACAGATTTATCTAATCTAGACTTTGAAACTTCCACAAAACTTCTTAATTAAGTCTTTTTAATGAGTTCTTGAATATTCATAGCTAAAGTTAATAAAGCTTCTAATTGTTCGTTTACTTCGAATATAAATTTGATGTAAAAATATATTCATATGTATATGTACGTTTAAAATATTGACTAAATATTGACGGACATTACATTCCTTAGCGAAAGCTAAATATAAAATCGACAGAAACATCGCTAGAATCGCTGTTATTGATTGTCTATAATCTTTTTTAAGACATCGTATATGAATACATATAAAAAAATTTATCTGTATAATTTATCAAGCGCAAGATGCCTGCAAATGTACGAATTATTATTAAAGTTGCAAATCGATATTTATAGAGATTAATTTTTACTTTTATCATTATTCGAAAAAAAAAAGGAATTTAATGATTAGAATACATCATTAAATAAGAGGTACTCACGACCATGTTGACGAGGACCACGTTGTTGGGTGTCCACAGTACATTGGCGTTCTTAACGACCGTTACTATGACCAGCAGATTCAAGACGAAACCGAAAAAGCCGATGAAACCCAGCGTGATCGCCGCGAAAGTATAGATACCGGTTAATGTTCGTTCCTCGTGGATGAAAACGTCGTCCGGCAGATCGGCGCTCAGATTCAACGACATGTTTCGTATCGTCGGTTGGAACTTCCGGCGTATCAGTCTCCGGCGAACGGAAATCTCACTCCACGTTAGAAAGACGAATGAAACTCGGTCGACGAGAGAACGGGTATGATCGACGCGTCTGCGCCCTCGGAGGTTCTCGGAAGTCAAAAAAAATTCGGATCAGTTGAACGCGGCGGATCTGTCTCGGTCGCGTTAATCAAAACCAGTAGCTGGTTTCAAAGTCAAGCTACCCTTATATAAAGCTCTAAGCCGCTCCCGCCGCACATCCCTCTGGCCGTTATCCAACAGAAATGAACCTCCCAACGTGAAAAAGCAGGGTCATGTGCGCAGGTCAAGCGAACCACCATTGTATTCTGTCACTCGCGCTCTTTTTTTTTTTGTAATTTACAAGCGTTTACTTTGATGTGATTTTTTTCGATATTCCTAATCCTCGAAGCCGATTTCAATGATCCTTTAACGTTTTAAACTCGTTTCTCATTCCTCTCTAGTTTCAATTGACGTTTGGAGAAACGAAGTTTCTTTACCGTCACGATAGTTTAGTCCGTTTTAACTAACGTTTACAGGGAATGTCCAATTAGCTTAGAGCGAAACTAGCTAATGTATAAAGTCTGTAATTTCACTTGTACTTTATCTGCCTTAGCTTCCGGAAGAAACAAAGCCATAGTTAAACTAAATGTAAAGTTCAATATCAAATTAAATCGGCCTGTAATCTTTACCGACTGAAAACAATTTTGATTGAAAGATCTAAACGTCCATCATTAAACGTGAATCACAGATCCACGTCGTCTGCGGGATATTCCTCCGTTTGTGTTTACGTACACAACTTGATATCGCGGTATCTACTACTGTGTAGTCATTGTGCACATTATTGCGCATCCTCGTGCAGATGAAATTCTATCTGTTCGCTCAAGTTACAAGAGACAGCATCATCTTGCAAAATAATAGTCATTTTCTGCGGAAGAACACGACGTTCTTTAATTCTCCGCGTATATAAATTGATTTGGCAATTCTTTTATCGGCACATCAAAGACGTATACATTTTTCATTCCTCTTTTCCCTCTTTGTAAAAGGCAACTATTATAAAAAAAAAATAAAAGCTCCGAAGGATAGTAGAAAAACTTATTTATGATGGTTAATAATTTTTTACTACGACAAACAATCAAAAAATAAAAACAAGTTCTGGGGACGATTAAGATCATCTCTTATTTCGAACAATTCGATTTTAAAAGGTTTTTTTGTAAAAAACAAAGGTCAATAAAATATAGATAATTAAGTTGTCGTTAATGAATAATTGATCACAAACTGAGAAAAGGAATTCTTTTTAAACAATTGATCTGGTTCGGAAACGTTACCCGAGCGTGTCTGTGTGATTTTATCCTTGTACAATATGAGGTGAATAAAATGGGTAATATGACACACGGAGACACTCGGGTGACGTTTCCGAATACAACCCAGATCAATTGTTTAAAAAGAATTTCTTTTCTCAATTTGTGACCAATTATTCGTTAACGAGAACTTAATTAAATATCTATCTCAGCAAACACCAAGTTACATGTAACGTACTTGTTAGTTGTAATGTCCCACTCGACAATATAACTTTGATATGTTATATGTAAATTACTTGGTGTTTGCTGGGAGTATTTATGTATAAAACTTTCTGGATAATTTAATTGTTATTTGAGTTTTTCTGAAAAATGTTTCCGTCTAAATAAACTAAAAAAGTCTAAGAAATTAGTCAAACTTTTTATAGAAATTCTGAGAAATAATACAAAAAATTTTGAGAAATTGTTTCACCATAGAATAACAATACTATTCAGCAGTGATAAATAATAGTACGTACT